GTTATGTTACCCAGGCTGATCTCAAACTCGTGGGCTCAAGCGATCCTCCTGCCTCCGTCTCCCAAAGTGCTGGAATTATAGGCTTGAGCCTCTCTGGCCTGGACAACTTTTTATTAAGTGAAGTAAACAAACATACCATTGTAAAACAGTTTTATGAGGCATGCAAGTGCCAGCCTGTCCAGCTTTCATTTCATTACACCTGGGAATTTATTATCTTTATGTGTTGCTTGTATGAACTTTTCTTTTTTTTTTTTTTGAGTTGGAGTCTCACTCTGTCACCCAGACTGGAGTGCAGTGGCCGTTCTCGGCCACTGCAGCCTCGACCTGCTGGGCTCCGGTGATCCTTACGCCTCAGCCTTCCAAGATGAACTGTTTTTTTACCCAAACGCATTTTATCCTTAGTGGAATAATAATGTTAAAAGCAACTACTGTTTATTGAGATCTTCCTGTGTGCTAGGAACTATCTTAAGTGTTTAACATATGTTGATTTCTTAGATTCACAGAACAAGATTTTAAGGAAATCTGTAAGACAGCTGTGACTGAGGCAAAGGTGATATTTGAATCTGTCCAACTCTAAGCTTTTTGGGGTCCTGGGCTGCATTTCAGGGCTTCCAGTGTTCTTGTGGGTGTGGACATAAGTGTATGCATAGGCATATACATGGGGGTGTGTTTTGGAGGGCTTTTTGTTGTTTTGGCAGGTAAGAAGAGGGAGAAGTGGCCATAGCTTTAGCAAACCTGTTAACATTGCTTCTAAACAAGAGGCTTTTATGTATCTCTTTCTCAAGAGCTATTGTTTATTAAGTACCAAAGTATATTTAAAATTTTAACTTTATAGATGTTTGCTGAACTGCTATTATTTGGTAGATTCTAGGATCAGATTTTCTGAGAAGCATTTAAACCAGATTTAATAAGAAATAGTGTAGTGACTAATATTGCAATTATCAAAGGATTTGTTAAACTCATTAGCCACTAACTAAGATTAGAAGGTAAATCCTTACCTTATTTTGTGGGGAGAATATCTATTTTCAGGTCCTTTAGAACCACTCATTTGCTAATTATAATCACAAGTTATTATTATTATTATTATTTTGAGTTGGAGTCTCACTCTGTTGCCCAGACTGGAGTGCAGTGGCTACTTCCAGCCACCGCAGCCATGACCTGCTGGACTCTGGCGATCCTTCCGCCTCAGCCTTCTGAGTAGCCGGAATTACAGGCATGCAGTACTATGCCCGGGTGATTTTTTTGATTTATTGTAGAGATGCGGTCTCGCTGCCCAGGCGGGTCTCGAACCTGCGGGCTCAGGCAATCTACTCACCTCAGCCTCCCAAAGGCATGGGATTATAGGCTGAGCCACCGAGCCTGGCTCACAAATTATTTTTATGCATTGAAGCAACTGAGCCCTTTGCTTTTCATACTTAATATGCGGTATATGCTCTCAAACTTGGTAGAATAGTTGTAAAAGTGTTCTAAGATACATAGAGACTTCCCAGGCCAAATTATTGTGGCTTATGTATGTCATGAACTATTTCAGCCATACTAAATGGCATAAAGAAAAATATACTATCTGTATACCTAGCATCCGCTTAAAACACAAATGTTACTAATACTGATGCCCCTGTGTGTCCTTCCCCAATTGCATAGTTCTTCCTGTGCTTCAGAGACAACAAATAATTGTCTCCTTTTAAACATACTGCAAACTATGCTTATGGACGTTGTATAAGTGGTTGTACCATATACTCTGATTCTTCTGCATCTTGCTTTTTTTCACTCAACCTTTATATTTTTGAGATTCATCCGGGTTGAGGTATGTAATTCCAGTCCATTCATTTCTACTGCTTGTCATTTTCCGTTGTATGAGTATGCCCATCATTTACTTATCCATTCTTCTGTTGATGGGCAGTTGTTTGCAGTTTTTGAAGTTAACAAACAGATTATGCTACTATTAAGGTTCTTTTGTGGTTCTCCTTGTGCATATTTTGAGATCCCCTGGGTTACCCACCTATGAATGAAATTGCTGGATCGAAAGGTATGTGTGGGACAACCCCTTTGGGTCCCCTCCCACTGTGGGAGCTTTTCTGTCCTCTCAATAAATCCTACTTAAAAAAAAAAGGTATGTGTGTATCTTCAGTTTTTTACTGTATAACCTGCCTCCCAAAGTAGTGCTCCTTTGGGTTCCTTTCTTCACTGATTAGGTTCTCATTGCTCTGCACCCTTGCCAACACTGGATACTGCTAGACCTTTAAATTTATCAGTCCAGTGAGGGATATATCTCATTGTTATTTTGAACTTTCCTGATTACTAGTGAAGCTATACATCTTTCCTTACATTTATTAGTATTACACATATTTTCTCCTAATACTCTTTGTACGAGGAGGAATCCCTAAAAAACCAGAATTATCTTTTGGAGGGCAGGTCTCTTATAGTACACTCGGAATTTGTTACTCCAGATCAAGTGGTCAACCAAAGTTGTTTTTTGTTTTTTTAGAGTTGGGGGTCTCACTCTGTTGCCCAGGCTGGAGTGCGGTGGCACGCTCACAGCCAGCTCAGCATCGACTTGCTGGGCTCCAGCGATCCTTCCGCCTCAGCCTTCCAAGTAGCTGGAACTATAGGTGCGCACTACCACACCCAGCTAATTTTTTGATTTATTGTAGAGACAAGGTCTGGCCAAGTTGCCCGGGCTGGTCTTGAACTTGTCGGCTCAGGCAGTCCACTCGCCTCGGTCTCCCAAAGTGCTGGGATTACAGGCTGAGCCACCAATCCTGACCCAACCCAAGTTTTTGTCTGGAAGTTTGTAGAAGGTTGCGTCAGGATTTGCGAAAAAAAATCCTGAGTTGTGACAAACAAGTGTGATCGGTTCTTCCACCATGACAACACACCTGCCTGCACAGCTGAGTGTTCAGAAATTTTTGACCAAAACAGCATGATCCCCATGCCCCACCCTCTCTATTTACCCAGTCTCGCCTCGAGTGATGTTTTTTCTTACCCCGATGGAAAAAGTCCTCAAGGGGAAACATTTGGCTGATGTGGAAGAGGCGAAACAACAACAACAACAAAATGACAGAGCCAAAAGGCATCAAAATTGACAAGTGGAAAAAGCAGTGGAAAAAAGCGTTTCAGTAGGTGTATTGCTTCAAACGGAGAGTACTTTGAAAGTGACTAAAGTTTAAGCATGTAAGAATAAATACACAATTTTTTATAAATAAGTGCCGGGTTTTTTTGGGGTCCCCCCATATTATGGTTTTACGTTACATGCAAAGTTGAAAGTGACATGAAGTAGCTACTACTGGATAGATGTATACTCTGCTTGTATCTTTAAAACAAATGGGGAACCTCCCTCAGGTCTCCTCCCACTGTGGGAACTTTTCTGTCCTCTTAATAAATCCTGCTTTCTCAACAACAACAACAAAAACAACAACAAATGGGTTGTTTTTTGGTTCTTCACAAAGTGAATAGGAGAGAATTACACCTTTTAACACAGATAAATAAAGATGCCGGGGGGGCAGGGGCGGGACTGGCAGTAGTGGAAATCTGGTGGGGGCGGGCGGGTGCCTCAGGACGCACACCTCATCAACATGGGTACCTGTACAATAATATTTGCATATCTAACCCTGAATTGTGCCCTACACCTTTAAAAGAAAAAGATTAAAAGAGAAATAATAATAATAAAAAAGAGATGCTGAGAAAGTTGCAGAAGGTACATATATCATGTAAAGTTAAGTATCTGTATCTGTAAACACATTGCTTCAACTTATTTGTTTCACTTTTCTTTAAAATGGAATGATTGTACCTACCTCACAGGGCGATTGAGTCAGGGGAGCAGTCAATGAAGTAATGCATGTTAAACACTTAGAATACTGTCTGGCATGTAAGCATTGTTGGTATGTAATAGAAAGTGGTGTTGTTTTGCACGATGACATTAGATTGTTTTGACACAATCTTTTTTCTGTAGATTCAACTGATATGAAGTAAGAGTGTTAGGTCATATATTGGAATGATGTGTACAGGTCACTGCTCTGTCTTCCCAGAGCAGGAAATGCTGATTGATGGGATGGGGCAGGGGGACATAGGGACATCAGTTGTATTTTTTTTTTCTTGCTAAAAATTGATGCAGGTGCATCAGAATGTTAAGATTTAACAGGATAGTGTGGTGAATTCTTTTAAAGTGTTTGCTTAAAATATTTCAAAATAAAGATACTTTTTAAGCTTTAAAAAAAAGCATTGACAACTTTGCTAAACTTTTTTGAAGGAAATAATATGGGGTCCAATAGTATATTAGAAAGCATGAACTTTGGAATGAAATGCTTAAATTGTGGCTCTGTAGCCAGCTTTATGACCTTGGGCAATTTATGCAATTTCTGAGTCAATCTTCTCATCTTTAAAATGGGCAGATGCCTCGTAGTTTGATAAGAGAATTAAGTGAGATAACATAAACACCTGGCACATGGGACTAGTCCTTAGTTTTAGGGTGAAATATGTGTATTCAACTTCAGTAATGTGAACTATGGGTAGCACAATGGCATGTAATTAAATTGGCCTGGAAATCTGGCAGCATTTGTGAGATTCCAATGTTCTCTGTTGACAGTTGACTCCGATTATAAATGTATCTCAGGGCCAATCGGGAAGCTCACTGGCATAGAACACCCAAAGCAGTCGTGTGTATCTGCTGTGTATCCATGTTTAATGATCTTTCTTCTCTTTTGAAGTGCGTGTGTGCGCGTGTGCGCACACACACACACACCCCTGTGTTACTCTTGTTTATCTTCTGTGCCCTGTTGTTGCCAGTTAGAACATCTGGGACAAAGCTGACCAGGATCACAGGTGTAACTGTGGAAACTTTCTGGGTACCTTGGGACCTGGCTTCTGTTTGGGGACTCTGTCAGTGACCATGGAGGAGGTGTGGGCTGGTTACCGGAGAGCTGATGGTGGAGATGCAGGGTAGGCGCATGTAGATAACAGTGAGTTGACTTCATGTAGAACTGTTCTCATGTCTCTTGCCACAGGAATTTCTTCACATGGCTCCTGAAGAAGTGACACTCACAGTCCGTCTCATCCGTTCCTTTGAACATCGCAATTTCAGACCTGTAGTGTATCATGGGGTGAATTTGGACCAAACTGTAAAGGAATTTATGGCATTTCTAAAGCAAGGTATGAGACCTGATTGCTATTTTGTTTTATTAGTGTTTTGAAAAAATAGTTGACTGTCACAATAATAATTTTTAAAAATACTAAAGTACTTTGAAAGTACTACTTAGGTTCTAAGCCTGTTCTGGGTCTTGACATCGGCAGAAGTGCTTCCCTGCTGGGTGTGTCACTGAGTAGTGTGTGCCCTCATTAGGGATTGTCACCATCATGTTTGGATGCTGCTTCTTCCTTTTTTTTTTTTTTTTGCTTGTAATGGGTTTATGTTATTGGAGATTGATTGACAAGGGAGTGTAGCATATCAAATTGTATTATCCAGCTAAGCACATGGGCTGGGGGGGAGGGGTGGGGGGAGGGAAACATGGAGCATGTCATGGCAGGAAGGGAGCAGCCAGGAAATCATGAGGGCCCGTGGTCACTGTGGTCACAGAGATAACGACCAGACTAACAGTGCTAATTTCTCATTTTGAACAAAAAGTATGCATGAAGTTATTCTTCATTCTGTTTATGCCCTGGATGGGTCACTCACCTCTGTATTTGATTATGAAAGTGTTCCAATCATCAACATTTAATCAAACATCTAAAATAAGATTTTATTATTTTAATTGAAGTGTAATTTCTATATGGTACAGTGTACAAATCTCAGTGTATGGTTCCATGGTTTTGCCCAATGTATTACTTTATATCTAACTTGATTCTTTTTATTCTGACATAATTTCAGGCTTATAGAAACGTTACAAGAACATGACAAAAATTCCCCAATGTTAACATTTTGTTATGCTTGTTTTATTCTGCTTGCTTTCTCTCTCCCCTCCTCTTCCCCTTTCTCTCTCTCTCATTCTCCTCTCTCTCCCAGATTATGTAGCATCTTCAGCAGAGAACAGTTCATTTTTAGAGAAGAGACAAAACAAAGGAAAAGGACTTTGAGTTTCTAGCTGCAGCAACTTGTGGGAAGACAACTGACAGTCAAAAGCTAGTTAGTAAAGATGTTGAAATAGGTTTCTCTGGTGCCCTCTCTAGTCTGATATGGGTTTAAAGTTGTCTTCACTAGTTAACCTTTGCTCTCCCCAGGAAAGAGGTGAGCAGGATACTGTTTGCCTTTGTAAGTCTCTGTTCTGATTTTTGGCAAATAGAGAGCAGAGCACTTTCCTGCATGATCAACTTCTTCTTTTTTTTCCTTTCATCTGCTGCTTCTTAATTACCTTTAGCTCAAAGCAGCCCTTATGCTAAAGAGGCATATTTTGGGGTGGCATATCCTGTTCTCCTGCAATATCAGACAGTATCCTGTTTTTGAGAGGTCATCCCCCAAAGCATATTCAGGTTTTGAAATGAGAACAAATTTCTACATTTTTATTTTAGAATCTTTATGTATTGTAGGTTTCAGTGTTTCTTAGCATTGATACAGCAAGTGCTATGATGTTCTTGGTACAGTGCAGAATAGATTTTTCTTGAAGTTCTTGAGAATAAGATGTAATTTTTAAGCTGCTATAGTGACCGGGGAAGACATCTTCTCCCCAGGGTCACGGTGTTCTTTTCTTCCCAGGTACCATGATGCCTTTCCTGCAGAGCAGGGGTCCTGGTCACAGGGAGATGCTCGGACCTGCCTACTCACACTTTTTGCCTGCAGTAGGAATACCATAGCTGAGGCTTGTTTCAATTGTGCATGTCCGGAAGTGTGTTCCACCAACTAAAGGGGGAACTTTTGGGGTAGAGACTTCTTTGAGTTGTGGGCTCTGTGCCCAAGCCTGTCTTTGCCATCTGATTTGAGGTACTATGGAACTCTAGAAGGTTGGTAGGCCACATATTTGCCTTTCATGAATTGTGTATATAACAAAGACCAGATAGTTTGATAGTGAGGAGTTTTTGAAATACATTAATAATGATAATTATAGCTAACATGACTGTATATCAGGTACTTTGCTGAGAACTTTACCTAGATGATCTCATTTCATTCTCATACATACCTCTGAAGTAGGAGCTGTTACCTGCATTTTACAGGTGAAGAAACTAAGACGCAGAGAGGTTAAGAAGCTTTCCTGGTGTTACATGGCTAATGGGAGGCCAACTCCAAATCAGGCAGCTTAACTAGAAAACATGTACTCTTAAACACTGCACTATATTGCTCTTTATTCTTCTCTGCTTCCTCATTCACTCCTTGAGTGGCAAATAAATGGATTCACTTAGTGTCAAAAGAGTCTTTGAATTTAGTTTATCTTGCTCTAGCATATGGAATGCTGAGCACTAAAATGTTGGTCTGACATCATAGTATGGTGAACTTTGCATGGGGATGGAAATAGTCATTGTGAAGAATGATCTCTCAGAGTTATTTTAGATGGATTATTGCCTTTCTAAATGTTATTTTCTTAATGTAGTCCCTTTTGCCATCCATGGCTTAACCTAGTCACCTGCCATAATTTGTATTTTTTCTCAGCCAAGAAGCTGTGGTTAAATTTGATTTACTCTCCAGTGGGAATCATTGTACAAAAGCATTGGCCTTCAAAACCTAAAGTTGCAGCCTGGGGAATATGGCGAGCCTTTGTCTCTACAAAACGAATAGTTTTATTTATATTATTAGCCAAGCATGGTGGCGCATGTCTGTAATCCCAGCTACTTGGGAGACTGAGGCAGGAGGATTGCCTGAGTCCAGGAGGTTGAGACTGCAGTAAGCTATGATTGCACCACTGCACTCCAGCCTGGACAACAGAGCAAGACCCCATCTCTAAAAAAAAAAAAAAAAACCCCAAACCTAAAGTTGTATAAATATAAATGTGTATGTTTATATGTAAATATAAAAAACATAAATATGATAAACCTATTGCTGACATATGGGGAATGGATATTAATTAAACATTCTGATCACAGAGGTATCATGATATATTACTTTCTATAGATGAGTATTTTTCTAGATTCAGAATAGTACACAAATTATTTAGATAAAATTAGATTATTTTAATTATCCTTCAATTCAAAAGCATTTCAATACTTATTAATTCTTCAGATCTGGCTTCTGAATGTAAAATCATTCCACCTATGAAGAAGTAGAGTGCTGTGGAGGTTTTGTCCAACCTTCCAGTTCAGTTTGATGGTTTTTCACAATTAGACTGGGGTTATGGGTTTTTTTTTTTTTGAGTTGGAGTCTCACTCTGTCGCCCAGACTGGAGTGCAGTGGCCACTCCCGGCCACCGCAGTCTCAACCTGCTAGGTTCCGGCGATCCTTCCACCTCAGCCTTCCGAGTAGCCGGAATTACAGGCATGCGCTACCACGCCCGGCTGATTTTTTGGTTTATTGTAGAGATGAGGTCTTGCTTTCCAGGCGGGTCTCGAACCTGCAGGCTCAGGCAATCCACTCACCTCAGCCTCCCAAGGCGTGGGATTATAGGCTGAGCCACCGAGCCCCGCTTATGGGTTTTTGAAAGGAAGATCACAGAGATCAAGTGTCACTTTTGTCACATCATATCAGGGGTGTGTACTCTCCATATGATTTATGATTGTAGGTGTTGACCTTGATCACGGGGTTGAAGTAGTGTCAGACTTCTCCTCTCTGAAGTTTCTTTCTTCCCCCCTCCCTTTTCTTACTGTGCTCTTAGGAGGAAGTCTTGTGCTCAGTCCACAGTTAAAGACTGGGGAGTTGTGTTCCCCCTCTTTTAGGGTAGAATATATACAGAATTCATTTGGAATTCTGCATGGGAGATTTTGTTTGGTTGCTCAAATTGTTCTAGTTTTGGCCATTAGAAGGTCTTTTAGTTGGCTCCTGTGTCTCTTTGACATATGCCTTCTGTGTGTGTGTGTGTGTGTGTATGTGTGTGTGTGTGTGTGTGTGTGTGTGTGTGTGTACACGTGTGCATTTGCATTAAGTACTTTCTTTCTGGTATCCCAGGACGCTCCAGGCATATATCTTGTATATTTCTTGTCCCAGGCCTAGCATCAGTCCTTTCTCCAAGGAGTCCTAGTTCCTTTTTAGTGGAAAAAAGTATTAGAAACCAAGATCCAGGTGCTAAGTGTGTTCATTGCTACTGGAATATTATTTCTTTTGGGCCCTCTCTGCTAATGGAACAAAGAATTATGTGTGTATATACTAACCTGTGCTAATGCACATATCTACAAATATTTTTATATGTAACCATTTCTATCTATATATTTAATGTGAGTTCTTACAGATTTTTTCCAGCTCAGTCTTTTACCACATGGGTCATTCCAGCTTCCTCTCCTTGCTTATCTATAGATTCCCATACCAACAGTGAGAAACCTGTCTCCTACCATCTGCCACCCCCTTATTTGTTTAATTCCAGTATTCAGGTACAGCACTGTATCCCCATGGGAAACAACTTGGTATCAATTTGAATATGGTGTTACGTACAGTTCCTTTTGACTTCATCTCGCAAAATCTCTTCATTGTCAGAGTGATTTAGGCTGGCATCTTTTCTTCTACATTTATAATGCAGCGAGAGTATCTTGTCACCTCCTGTATTCTTTCCTGGGATTCTCTGACTTCTTTGGGATTTACTCTTTGGGCTGTAATGTTCTGTAATGTTCCGTTTGACAAATGGTATAATGTCAAGTAGCCACCCTTACAGTGCCATACAGAATAGTTTCACTGCCCCCAAGTCCCCTGTGCTTTACTCACCCCTCCCTGCCTCATACCCCTGACAACCACTGACTTTTTTCCTGTCTCTGTATCTTTTCCAGAATGTCATATCATTGGAATCATATAGTAGGTAGCCTTTCAGACTAGTTACTTTTGCTTGGAAACATGCATTGAAGGTTCTTCCATGCCTTTTTGTGGCAAGTCATGTCTTTCTAATCTCCTGTATTCTGGAACGGTCCCCTGCTTTCTTTTGACTTTCATTATATTGATTTTTAAAGCAAAATCTAGGCCAGTGTCTTACAGACTGTTACATAATTTGGGTTTTCTGAATTACTTTCTCATGATTAGATTCATGTTATATATTTTTGGCAAGATTACCATGTGGGTCAAGGGTTAACAAACTACAGCCTGTGGACCAATT